CACACAGTTAATTACATTTTCTAATTGACCCAGTTAATATTTTAATTGGGATAAACAATTAGACATTATCAAAAACTACTTGACCAATCGACAACAATTTTGTTGTGGTTATTCAGAAGTAAGAAGCCTTCGGATTTAAAGAATTTTAAGTAGTTGCGTGAAATTATCGCCGAATTAGTAAGTGCTAAAATCTGCATTTGGCTCGGTTTTCGGCTATAACTTTTTTACTATTGGTGGGATCTTTTTACGTGTGGTCTCATTCTGTAGGTCTCATAAATACCTAAAAACCTATTCAAAGAAATGTTTCGTTCCTGTCAACACTTTCGATTGATTCCCAAAAAACATGTTTTGAATGTCTCCTTGAACAACTTCCATCAATAAAACCAGACTTTACAACTATTTCGCGAACCAGGAGTGTTTTTGTCAAATATGATTAGACTACTCGTACACACTACGACGTCAGTGGTATATGGATTTCTCTGAAGTTCTTTGAAGTTGAGTCATTATCATCATCATTTTCAGATAATGATTGTAGAAGGAAGATAAATCAAAATATGTGTGTAAAAATAAAAAAAAATGTTACCTTGTTTTATAAAGTATCCTCCCGACAAGTATTTCAGTGCGGACCTGTACGTATTTGATCGTGCGGTCTTGGAGCACCGGCATCAGTGATGCCACCGGCCAGTAAAGGAATTATGGTTGTTGTTGCCAGAATTATCAATTTTTCTTCAAAAGTATGTTACAAATAGTGTTCCTTTAAGACACATAATTAATATAGGTTCTTTAATGTAAAAATCTCATAAAAAATGGAACATTTGGGAAAATCAAACAAACTCTCGAAAAATACTACAAGATATACCTAACTCGAAAATATAAAAAACATTATTCAGGTTCAAAATGAATATCAACAGTTTCATTTTCATCTTGAGCGACATTTTTATAGGATGTTATTCTATTAATCATATTTTGAGTAACATTAAACTTATAACATTCACGACTTACACTTTGAGATGCTAATAAAAGTGAATTTACTGTATCACTGTACAAGCGATTTCGGACATCTGTTTTGATTAAGTTTACTTTTGAAAACATTCTTTCGCATGCGGCATTTGAATGAGGAATTACTAATAAATCTAATACAAAATTTCCCAATTCTTTAAATACGTAAACATCAGACATGTCGTGAATTTGGGAGATTTTGTACCAGTATTTATCGATTGATGTTTCATCCTTTATTTCATCACTGAAATTTGGTTCTGACTGGCAATACATCCGCCACTGATCATCAATTTTTTGTATTTGTTCAATATCTTGAGGATCTACAATTCTGGGTAGTAACTTAATTAATGGAAAAAGCGATGCTGGTTTTTTTTTCAAATACTGATATTTTTTACAAAATATTTTCATTAAAATCAAACCGTTTTTTCATTTCATTTGCAGAAGTTATTAAAAATTGACGGCACCGCATGTAGAAATCTTCTTTTTCCTTTTGACTTAATTTATCAATGTTCTGAAGTACGCGAACACCAAGGTATATCTGTTTCAAGTCAATGAACTGACTAGCATTGTTGGGATCGATTTTACCTATTTCGGTTTTATGAATATAATTTGGTTGTAAATAGCTTAAACAAATTTCTTTATAAGTTTCACAAACTACATCATAAACGTGTGCAATTATGACACGCTCACTTTGAAAGTATTCATTTAATTTTACAAATTTTGGTAAAATCAAATAAAGAAAAAAGAAAAAAAGTTTTGTTTCCATATCATTAAGTCTATTGGCAACAACTTCTGAAGCTTGCAGTCTATGTTCGGTCCATTCTTTAACAAAATATAATTGAAGGGGATTCCATTGCTCAATTATCCTTTCCACTACCATAAGTAATGAAAGCCACGTAGTTTGTGAAGGACGTAAAATTTTGTGAGGCTCCACATTACAAAATGTCTGAAATTCTGTAAATTGTGCTTGCCATTTGGACCTATTTTTAAAGTAACCAAAAATATTCCTGGCTAAATCTTTACAATGACGGGGCAAAACTTTACAAGCCTCACTGGCACAAAGATGTAAAGGGTGGCAGATGCATTTTTGAACTATAATGCCAGGAAGATTTAGTTTTAACCTACATACTACTGAGTTATTGGCACCAAACATAGTGTTACAGCCATCAGAACCAAATCCTATAATATTTTGGAAAGGTATATTGTTAGACTCAAATAAATCCATAATTTTTTTATAAAGAACTTCTGCAGTCGCCTCTGTATTTGCTTCATCTGGATTTTGATTTGAAAAACATTGAACCAAATTTAAAAATTTTGTAGTTACTTCATTTGTTTTTTCACTAGTAGTAGTACCTAACACATACACATATATTTTTTACTACACCTATGTCTGTAGATTCATCTACTAAAATGCTAAACTTTTTTGCTTTTAGTTCATCGATTAGTTCTTCAAAATGAGATTTGGCTAAAACATGTTTTATAACACCTGTTGCTTTGGTTCTTCCCATTTGCATTCCTTGGGCAATTTTCGAGTCAAGGAATATGTCTTTTAATAAAGGAATCAGATGATCACACAGCTTGATGGGTAGATTATGCTCTGATATTAATGCAGCAATTTTTATTTCTGCCCTACTCACTTGACCACTAGCTTCGTTTTTATTAGAAAACATAGTAGAAATTTTTGGTTGATTTTTCACAATCACGTTTACATTTTTTAAATGTTTAGCTCCCTTACTGTGATTTTTCAATACAGTTAAATCTGCTTGAATTTCACTATCACAAGCAATACATTTTGCTCGAGTGGGTTTTTCTAAAAACAAAAATGCATATCATTAAAAGTATAAAATGGTTTTATGTTATTTTTTCTACCTTTAACAGCTTTCAACCATCCTTTGAAATGGGGATTGCTTTCCCATTCACATCTATATTTTTGTGGTCTAGTTTCTCGTCTGTTTACGTTTTTAAACTTTAAACTTTTTGCCTCCCTTTCTGAATCCGAAGAATCGGAGTAATCATGATGATCCCCTTTGCTGGTACTGGCCATTTTATTTCACTATTTGATCACATCAACGCACATTAATAAGGACTCATTCGATCAACTACTCTTGCTCGTATTGAAAAAGAAACAATGAGGATTAGCGTATTCCCCTGCGTAGGCTCAAATTCACCGAGACTCGAGTTCCGTAATATTTACATAGATGGCGGTAGGCTTGATTTTTATTCTAATTCCATAATAACCATGCTATTAACTGAAAGAGGTCAGCACTAATAATTATTATTATCCTTTTTGTTACGTTGCTTTGGTTGCATACAATTAGAACCAATAATTGAAGACACAAGTGGATAAAGGTGTCATGTCACAAAATAACAATTCTGAGAAAAATCACTTTAAAGATTTCCGATTGGAATTTTTTTATGCATTCAATTTCAGGCATTTTCTATAAATGTTTTTTTAAACAGCATTAAATATTTTCTTTGTCTCTTGTTTAACTTGAAGACATGTTGATATTTTGAGAGAAAATGTACTTTGAAAGTACATGACACCTTTATCCATAAGAAGTTGACAAAACCTTGTGTTGACGGGAAATGAAAAGAGGTGTTATGTACTTAAACATTGGTATTTTATTGCAAAAGTAACAAAAATCTCAAAACTCATCAAAATGAACCAATTGCTTTTCTTTTTTTCATAGAACCATTTATACTCGTTCTTGACAAACTTTAACTGTTCACTGTTACCCAACTTTTCTGCAGTAAGTCCACCTTTTTTCTCTGTGATTCTGCGTAGTGTAATATTGTCCTCCTTACGTATCACCCTACTTCCTTTTTTAAATAGATTTACTTTATGAAAAGGTGAATATTCATCCAGATTTTCTTTATAAAAGTAGCTGCCGAACTCATCAACTCTAATCCATTTGACACTATCTCTGAAACAGATTTTTTGTCCCATATCATTAGTCTTTTTATTCCAAATATGCAACTTCCCTGAGAGTTCGTTAAAGTCATAGAAGTAATTTTCCATATCGAGGGTAGCACAGTTTTTCGTACTTGCAGATTTAATTAGCTCACGGTATTGTTCGGGTACATAGATATTCTCAACCTTTCTAAGTTTTTTTTCTATTCTGCCAAAATTTCTGTCTGAGTCTAGGTAGCTGTGTCCAACTTCTGGAAACTTATGATCGATGACTTTCAATGTTCCATTTAAAATTAAAAATTGATAGAGACTGATAATATTGAAGTTTTTATTTTGGCCTGCACAAGAGTCAGACCAAATGATTAGATGATTAATATTTTTGTGAGATTCTTTGAGCTGCTGACAAAATCGGAGTAAACAACTAGCTATCTCAATACTTCCTCGTTTTGCTACATCTTCGGTCCAATTGAAAAAAAAAGGTTTTGATCCACTAGCAGTTACACAATGGATACCAAAATTATAGTACCACATTTGGCGAAGGTAAAAAGCTTTACTGGTAGATAATTTTGGTAGTGGCATCGTTTGTTGCATATCGATAGTTATATAGCAGGTATCTTCTTCCATTGATGGTGTTTCTCTATCACGTCTCTGTGATTCAAATGCAGCTTTAAAGTTTTCTGTATGCAGATCTGTGTTTTGCCCTGAATCACAAACACTACACGTGTCACTTCTAGGGTGGCCAAAAGATAAATTGAACTTTGTACAAAATATTTTAGCATAGGAAGAAAGTGTCACTTTGAAAGAATCATCCAGTTTTCTGTTTTCACAGTCTTCGATGTACAACTTATACATTGTAGCCATATTAAGGATAGGTGACAAATATTTTTTATGACAGTTTTTATTACGTGAGTAATGTGACTCTTCTGAGGGGAATTTTTGGATATGATCCATAATGCACGCAATGACATCCTCTTTAATTTTATGAGGTCTGTTTTTGTGTTGACCTCTTTTGTCAGGTGTTGGAGCATTCATTCCTTTTTTCAGTGTTCTTTGCATAAGTTCAATTTTCTTTCGGCTAATCTGATAAAGAGAACATAGTGCACCTCGGCATATGATTTCTGTTTTTCTATTAAAAGTAATGGAATAACTAAAAGAATATGTTTTTTCTTTTTTTACATTAGTCCTATGTCTTGCAACCGGTTTGATGTTTATGCTTTTAAATAACAAAGCATTTTTTGCGTTTATATCTAATGCATAATACTTTTCTAAAATTGCTTTTCTATCTTCTAAAAGAAACTTGTCAGAGCAATGTAATCTGCATTTTTCTTTGCACAGCAATCCAGAATTTATTTCTTTTTTTGACATAACTTTCCCTGTTTGAGAAAGATACTCTTCTCCTCTTGCTCTTAAAATTGCAGATTTTCTTCTACTCCACTGATCTGGATTCCTAAGACGTTTCTTAGATGTTTTCTCCTTCAACTGAAATATTTTCTTTTTCACTCTTTCTCTTTTTTCTTCCAAAAAATGGTCATCTTTTAAATTGGGCAATCCAATATCAGCAGTAATATGCGATATAAATCGATTCTCCGGAGTTAATTGAGTACTTGAGCTTTGGTTTGAGTCATGCCTGGTTTGAGATAATAGCTTGTTTCGAACGTTGGATAACAGCTCATTATCTGATTCATTACTCGATTCGGTTTCGGAGATATATTCACTGCAGCTTGTGACATCCTCATCGCTGAAATCTTTATGAGACGATGGAGACTGGTATATATCTAAAGATAAACAATAAAACTAATTAATTACCTCTTTTAAAATAAATATTGATTGCGTCCATACCTCTACTGGTACTGGGAATAATTGATATCCGAGGATTAGCTGTTAGATTTTTAATGAATTCTGCATCATTTTTATTTGTGCTAGGTTTAGGACAAATATTAAGACAAGGAAACGTCTTAGGGTTATTGTCTATATTTTCGCTCTCTTTATTTCCAAAACTTCTCATGGGACTAATTGATCCATCGTGATTAGTTTCTAAAATCAATGCAAAATCAGTACAAAATAACAACAAAATAATAAAAGCCACTAATTTTCTACCTGGTCTTGTAGTACATGCTTTTTGTTGATCCTCTAGAATCTTTAAAATGTATTTTCCTCTAGACATCACTGAATATATTATGTTAGTAAACCAACAGTTTCAAAAACAGCACTCTTACACATAACCATTGTATAATAAAATCCAAAACAATGACATACCTAACCTCAAATTCAAATGTCATGCTGTGGATTCTCGACAGAAAATTTACAGTTGACAGTGGATAAAGGTGTCATGTTACCTTGACCCCTTTATCCACTGTCAAAGGCAAAAATATGGGTACATAACACCTTTATCACTTGAATATCTAGGTCATTCACAAATATTGTATAATAACGAGACTTGATAATGAAAGAAAAGCAAATCTTAAGCCTATTGAACGAAAAAAACACGTTTTTGAAAAAATGTTACATGACACCTTTATCCACTTGTGTCTTCAATTTTGAAAACATAGTTATAGGCTGGGAGATGGAAAAATAATATGTTACAATTATCGATTATGTTACATCATTTTATTTACTGTATATTTCAGTAGAAAATATGGTACAATTTGATAATTATGTTACAAGTGGCAACACTGACCGGCATGCCGTCCTCTGTGAGGTCTTAAGTCACCTGATTCACGAGCCCCTTGTACTACATTAACAAAGGCACGAGGGGTTGGTTGCACTCGATTGGGAAACCGATCCGCATAAATCCGTGATGCCACATGTCCACAAGTTCAGCATTTTCGTAAACATGTGTCATTTTTGATTTCGTTTGAGCCACGCAACAGACACCACTATTCACTCACGCGTTACCGACTGACACTGACCAAATTCTTTCGCTTTTTTGTTTCCGATGCGATGAACCGATAAGGCGGATTATATCCGTTGTCGCCAAACACGAGCACATAATATTATTATTAAGACAGGGCGGTACTCAAACCTCCAAAGGGCTATAACTTTGTTACTTTAATTTTACCAGAAAAATGGTAAAGGAAAAAAACATTTCTTTTGATCAGATCTACTCACTGTCAAAATAAATGACTCAACTTCGAAGTCACCCTGTATAATCTAGGACTACGTATCGAGAGGTATTATAATTCGTTAGCAAACATTGTTGACAAACACTTTTACACCAAAGTAAATGAGGCAACCGTGTACGGACACTCTCATTGCTGCAATCTCAGGAATTGCCAGGCCTTTTTTCTATAAATATGAGGAAATGGTGGTGTGATTCCTCTTTCCTTATTTTTGAATTAATTTAATAAATTAATTAATGGATTAATACATTATTATAATTGAAATCTAAGGATCAGTCAAAGCAAATCAGCTGTCAACTGGCGTGCAAATTTAATTTAGGCCCTAGTTCAATAAAGAGCGCCGGTGACTCAAGACGGACTAAGGCACAAATCCCCGAGTTTTTCGTCGGAACTTGTTTTGTTTGGCCACCACACAAAGATAAAAAATGTAATAGTAATAATGAAACCTAATTAATTGTATACAGAGAGCCAGATAAAACAAGATATCTAAAAAAAAGAATCACAATATATTGCCAAAACAAGTAGCACATATGCTCAACCTCTGGAATGCAAGTTAAAAGAAAAGATGTTATTAAAAACTACCTGACAATAAAATTAATAGAGCGTAATAACTAACCCTGCAAAACGTTTACTATGGTACACGTACGAAGGCTTAACGAATATAGGTCTTACAAATGTTTCAACGCCTAAACCTAAACTTATCTGGGCAATGGTCTTCTTCCAGTTACAGCTCTAGGCGTAGCTGTGATGTTCTCAGCTCTCAAAACTCAGATCAAAACTCAGTGGCCAGTAGTGAGCAGTGACGTAAGGAACATCACAAGGTAGGGGCTGCTTGCCTCGTTCTCAAAATTTATGGTATAAAAGAAACCCAGTTCACATCAGGGTTCTTATAAAGGGGAAGAGATGGCTTACCACAAAATCGGCTGCGAAACAGCTACAAGGCAGCTACAAAACAAAGCTGAAGGAGTGTGCATAGTGGTTCTCCACAATGGCTTTCCACGCTGGAGGTTAAAATCCCATAAAAAAATGGACGGATTGTAGTACCCAAACCAACACAACTAAACGTAAGGTACAGAATAAAAGGGTTCTACTCCATAAACTGGTGTTTGGGGCGTTAATATCTCAAAATCTGGAAGTTAACGAAAAAACGCCCGCACACAACCAAAAGTACAGCAGGAAAGAAAAATGGCGCTGGGCAGTCTGCGCACGCAACCCCCTCAAAGACGGTTGAATAAGTGGCCCTGAAGATGCCACGTTCGACAGAATATCAAAAGGAACAGATAAAAGCCGGTAAAGAAGGTATCTTGATAGTAAATCAAATTTTAACAGAAGGTATTTTGATAGGAAGGCAAACATTCATATACGGCTAGTACGTGTAAAAATCACAAGATGGCGCGTTGGTGTTTACTCTACAAGGGTCCAACGATGTTTAATGAGTAAATTTCGAAGATAGTCGTTAATAATACTATAATATCAGTGTCCAAAAAGATTTCAAAACTATACTGAGTCGCTGAAAATAACAGATGTAATACGTGTGCAATTATACAAACAATTAACTAGGAAATTTGACAAAAGAAAATCATTGAAAAAGGTTTGGTCTAAGAATCGGTAGTCTACTATGAATGAAGAGAAATTCAAATTACTCATAAGAGATCAAAATAGTAAAAAGGAAGATTACGTAATTTTAGCATGTGACAATTTTTTTTCATGAAAAGCCCAAATAGTGCAACAACTCTGACAAATCCTACGTCCTTTTAATGTCATTGTACTACATGGAAAATTTTACTAGAACTAGAGTCTAGAGTCAGTCTAGGCGACGCCATTGTTTAACATGTGCTTCAAAAAAAGCATTCTGCTGGAAGCTACATAGTTTTCCTCGTCAAAATGGTAGTATTATACCGGCTAGGTACTTCATTTCTTATTATTCATTTGACATGGCTGATATATAAATATATCGTGTGGGAGCATAAATAATTGTAATGTTTTAGGCGATATATCATATATAACAATAATACATAAATGGTTTTCCAATATTACGATAAAATGTATATTTTGCATATGCGTCACTTAATAGCAGACATAAAAATGATATATGGCCCTTTTTCCGTTCCACTTCTACCATTTCTACGCATTTCCTTGATTGCTTCACCCGTTCGAGAGGGGGTGGGTCTCTCATTCTAACAAATTGCCATCTAGTTCTTGTAGGCGTTACCGCATTATATTAATAAGAGATATCTTTTTAATTGACTTTTGAAACTTGAGTTGCTCAGAGTTTTATATTGTACCGGAAGGTTGCTATAAATGGAACAAATTTGGTAGCTGAACGATCGTTCAAATTGGGCTGTTCGGAATTATATATATATATATATATATATACAGGGTGACTTTGAAGTTGAGTCATTAATTTTCAGATAATGATTGTAGAAGGAAGATAAACCAGAATATGTGTGTAAAAATAAAAAAAAATTAAAAAAAAATTTTTACCTTGTTTTATAAAGTATCCTCCCGACAAGTATTTCAGTGCGGACCTGTATTTGATCGTGAGGTCCCCTGTGAGGTCTTAAGTCACCTGATTCACGAGCCCGTTGTACTACATTAACAAAGGCACGAGGGGTTGGTTGCACTCGATTGGGAAACCGATCCGCATAAACATGTGCCATTTTTTATTTCGTTTGAGCCACGCAACAGACACTATTCACACGCGTTACCGACTGACACTGACTGTATGTATAACTGAACTGAATAAAATAATTGTAAAAACATCGTTCCAAATTCTTTCGCTTTTTTGTTTCCGATGCGATGAACCGGTAAGGCGGATTATATCCGTTGTTGCCAAACACGAGTACATGATATTATTACTGAGACAGGGCGGTACTCAAACTTCCAAAGGGCTATAACTTTGTTACTTTAATTTTACCAGAAAAATGGTAAAGGAAAAAAACATTTCTTTTGATCAGATCTACTCACTGTTAAAATAAATGACTCAACTTCGAAGTCACCCTGTATATATATATATATATAATTTTTTTATACTGAAGCGGCCGCGCAGGCAGAAGCCTAAATGCTGGAACACCGCGGCTGCTAAGAAATTTTGTTAATCTGATTTTTGAACTGTCTAAGGTTAGTAGAACTGGGAAAAGCTTCCTCTTGTAGATTGCTCCACAATCTGGACACCCTCGGGACAAAGGAGCGGTCGTATCGACCCGTTCTGGATGTACTAAGCTCGACACGGTTAGGATGAGAGGCCAAAGTCAGGCGGGTCTGTTTGGCAGGTACATCGCGCGGCGGCATCATGGAAGAGAGTTCTGAAGCCCGTTGTTGTTGTTGGAGTTTCAAAGTTGTTAAGAACGTTGTTTATTATACCGAGGTTTCAAATTCGACCCTCACCAGTCAGGTCTCGGACACCGTAAGAGACATGAAGTTGATCACGTCAGGGCAAAATTGCGTATTTTTGGGTAACAAACAAAATAATACATGGGGAATTTCAAAATTCAAAGTACTTTTGGAGAGAGATGGAAAAAACAGAATTTTCTCAAAATGCTTTTAATTGTTTCCTCACTTTATTTGTAGTGGGATTTCAAAATAAAGTGCACGTTATCAATGATACTTTTTGTCCTCCACAAGATGGCACAATGAGAATTTCAATATGTCGTTTCGTCAGTATCAAATTTATTTTTTCTTAAGGGCGCCATACTGGACTTAGGCATTGGTGATCAGAGTTTTTGATTTTGATTAAAAAAATCTATAATATGTCATACATTGACATTGCCAAGCCTTGGCTATTAAAAAAAATAACTTCTTATGTAGGTCATGAAATTATCGGACAGTTATTTGTTTCATAAACCAGATTTATCTTGGAGTCATTTTCATTTCTTCCTGACTTTATTTAAGATGCAATTTCAAAATAAATTCTATGTTATTATTCCCACTTTTTCTCCTCTATAAGATGACGTAGTCAAATTTTGAATTAGAGGTTTATTTTTTCGATTTCCATCGCCAACTTTGTTTTTTCATATAGACACTACAGGGTTATCCAAATTAAGTGTCCATCATTAGTAACTTTGTTATTAGTGAAAATACAAAGTTGTTTGAATTAGCA